TTTGAACTATGGGGCTGGAGAAGACTCCTGCGAGTCCCTTGGACTGCCAGGCGATCCAACCGGTCAGTCCTAGAGGAGATCAACCTTGACTGCTCTTTAGAAGGCCAGATCCTGAAGAGGAAACTCAAGTACTTTGGCCACCTAATGAGAAGGAAGGACTCCCTGGAGAAGAGCCTCATGCTGGGAAAGATGGAGGGCGAAAGAAGAAAGGGACGGCAGAGAATGAGGTGGCTGGATAGAGTAACAGAAGCAGTTGGTGTGAGCTTAAATGGACTCCAGAGGATGGGAGAGGACAGGAAGGCCTGGAGGAACGTTGTCCATGGGATCGCGATGGGTCGGACACAACTTCGCAACTAACAACAACAAATATTGCTTAATCACATGCCTTGTGATTCAGGCACTTGGCAATTACAATGTGCTGACTAAGATTGCAGTGCCCTACAATCATGTGATCACCTTTTGTAGCTTTCCTAGCTAACTCCCCACAAGCAAAGTCAATAGGGAAAGTTGGATTTACTTAACAACCACATGATTCTATTAACGACCAGGATAAAAAAAAAGATTGTAAAGCCAGGCATAGTCCCATGATCGTTCATCTAACAACTGCGTTGGTTAGAGATGGACGTTCCCGTCCCAAAGTCTATATTCTACTAGGCAAGGCTTCTTGGTAGAAATATTCCTACTTTGAAATAGCTGCATAAGAAAAACTTCGTTTAGTAACCGTCTAAAGTTACAATGGCACTAAAAATTGTAACATCAGCATTTTTCACACTTTTGACCATCGCCACATCCCCATGGTCATGATCAAGATTCAGACGCTTGGCAACTGACTCATATTTATGACGGTTGCAGTGTCCCGGGATCATGTTACCCCCTTTTGCAACCTTTTGACAAGCAAAGTCAGTGGGGGAAGGCAGATTCACTTAACAACCTTGTGATTAACTTAATAACGGCAGTGATTTACTTAACTGTGAAAAGGAAGATCATAAAATGGGACAAAACTCACTTAACATTTGTCTTGCTCAACAACAGAAAAGCTCAGTTGTGGTTTTAAGTCAAGGACTGGCTGTAACTTCAATTGTTTTCCTTGGGAATTTAATGCTGCCACTTCAAAGCAAAATATGTGGTTTGTTTGCTGTGATTTTAATAACAGTCATCTTGCTCAATATGCCTTTTTTGGAAGGCCTGTTAGCCAGTTTCTTTTTGTTTCGTTCACCTGTTTTTTTTGTTCTCAGGTCTATCTTGCTATATAAGCTTCAGAATGTGTCTGATAATAATAAATGATACACCAATAATAACATTAAACAGATGATGAGGAACAATCTTGTGTTATGGTAAACGTACAGAATTTAAATTTTAGGATTATATGTTTTTCATCTTTCTCTCTTTACACAGCTCTCTGCATATATGCAATCTACAGATTACTTTTTGACGGGAATTTGTTGTAAAAGAATTATGTTTTCCTCTTGCAGGATCCGGCATGAATTTATTGCAGATTCGGGAAAAAGTTTGGAATCAAGTCTGCCTCGATGCTTGTGCACCCGAATTGGGGAAAAAACTGGACCAACCTGTGCCCTCCAGCAAAATACTGGTATGATTAACTGTAGAACAAATAAGGCGAGAGTAACAGTGGGAGAAATCAGAATTAAAATCTGTAGATCATGTATTTATTTGGACTGTCAGTGGGAAATTCTATGCTACATATTTATTGTTATTATTCCTATGAATCAATATTCATTCCTGGTGACAGTCTGGATGAGTCCCTGTGGGTTTTGAGCAAGGATTCGGAAGTGATTGCCATTGTCTTTTTTCCTAGGGCTATGGGAGAATGACTGGCCTAAGGTCAACCAGTTGGCTTTGTCCTTAAGGCAGAACCCATAGTGTTCAAGGTTCTTTCCTGGTGCCTTAACCAGTAGATCAAATTGTCTCCTAGTATAGATTTAAACTGGCATAGATTATTATTTCTCCTGAAGATGGCTTGTTCAGGCTCTGTTCATCTGATCATCTGATTTACCGTTGGAAAACTTATTGGCATTTTCAGGCATTTCTTATTTGTAGTGTTGATGGATCCTTGCTAAGAATCCTGTCTTTCCATTCATCTATCCATATATCAATGCGTCAATCCCATCCCATCCCATCTATCCATCCATCCACCGACATACATACCCATCAAATGACTGACCTATCTCTCCCTCTCTCCATCCCATCCCATCCAATGCATTCACCCATCCATTGACCAACTAACTCACTGACCTATCCATCCATCCACCCCACCAATTGTCCAATTGACCCATTATTCATCCATCCATCCATCCATCCCCCCATCTATTCCTCCCTCCCTCCCTCCATCTATCCTATCCCATCCAATCCTATATCATCCATCCACCCATTGACCAAATGATCTATTCATTCATCCACCCATTCAACCCTCCATCCCTCTATCTATTGACCATCTCATTCCATCTTATCCCTCCACCCACCCACCCATCCCATCTATCCATTCCACCCACTTACCCATCAACTGACTGACCCATCCCTCCCTCCCATCCCATCCCATCCGATGCATTCACTCATCCATTGACCGACTAACTCACTGACCCATCTATCCCATCCCATCCACCCATTGACCAATTGACCCATTATTCATCCATCCATCCACCCACTCATCCCTCTATCCCTCCCTCCATCTATCTCATCCCATCCTATATCATCCATCCACCCAGTGACCCACTGATCCATCCATCCACCCAAGCTTCCATCCATCCCTCTATTGACCACCCCATTCCATTTCATCCCTCCCTCCACCCACCCATCCCATCTATCCATCCCACCCATATACTCATCCTTCTTATTTATCCATCGATCCACCCACCCACCCACCTTTGCTTAATGAGAACAATGTTTTATAATGACTAGATGAGAGAGCCTCTGTTTCAACATAAGGGTGGTTGAGCATTGTTTTGGAAATGAATGTTTCCAAGACTGTTAAGTTTGCTGAAAAACAAACCAGATTTAAAAAACAAAAACAAAACAACCCAACTGTCTGGTTTCCTGTAATAAGGAAATAAAAACATATTTAATCTTTTGTGAATTCAAACTGCCAGAGTCATTTTGACTTTCTTCCAAGGGATTTGGGAAACTGTTACCCTGGAAGGGAAAGTCCCAACATTCTTTGAAGGGAGACTTGGTTTTTCTGTTCAAAATGTGTTGTTCTGAAACCAAATAGATATATCATTTATTTTTTTAAAAAAATAATAATTGTTAAATTTCATTCTTTAGGGTTTAATTTCACCCTATTACACTGAACGCTTTGGATTTAATCCTTCCTGCAAAATAGTAGCATTTACTGGAGACAATCCAGGTAAGGAGGCTTAAAATTCTGAAGCAAGGAACTTTTATTTTTTGTTCAGTTTTATCTTGAGAAAGCAGGTGAAATGTCTGTATAATTATCCCTTAGGAAAAAAAAATTCTGCATGAATAATTTCTTCAACCATGTGTTAAAGCAGACATTTAGTTGGAGAAACCTTGGTATTTTTGTTTAATTTAATTCAATGCAGCCGTTCAAAGAGGAGAGATCTACAGGTAGTTCTCAACTTACAACAAAGCTGGCACCAGAATTTCCGCTGCTAAGCAAGACAGTTGTTCAGTGAGTCGCATCTGATTTTATGACCTTTTTTTGGCCATGGTTCTTAAATCAGTCACTACAGTTGTTAAATGAATCTGTGGTTGTTAAGTGAACCTAGCTTTCCTTTTGACTTTGCTTTATTGGAAGCCATCTAGGAAGGTTGCAAATAGTGATCACATTTAGATTTAGATTAGATTTAGATTTATTTTATTTGTATGCCGCCCTTTTCCGGGAGGGACTCAGGGCAGCGAACAACTCAAGAGGGGAAAGAGAACATAGAACACAATACAAGTGATTAAAATAACCAAGAATCACACAGCCACACAGGTCAAGAGGGGAGGGGAACTCATCAACCCCAGGCCTGCCGGCACCGCCAGGTTTTGACGGCTTTCCGGAAGGCCTGGAGAGAGGTGAGGGTCCGAATCTCTGCGGGGAGTTCGTTCCAAAGGGCCGTAGCTGCCACAGAGAAGGCCCTCCCCCGGGTGGTAGCCAGATGGCATTGGCTGGTGGACGGAACCCGGAGGAGGCCGACCCTGTGTGATCTAATCGGTCTTTGGGAGGTAATTGGCAGCAGGCAGTCTCTCAAGTACCCAGGTCCAATACCATGAACCAGGTCCAATACCATGACCCTCGGAGAAACCAGCAGTTGTTAATATATCCTGATTACCAAGTGTCCGAATGTGTATGGAGATTCTCAGTCATCCAGGTCACAGTTGTCCCAAAGGTGCTTTTTCAAGAGGCAACTGGACTTACTTTGTCTTTCTTTGAAGACGTTTTGCTTTTCATCCAAAAAGAAGAGCTTCAGAGCTGAAGAAGCTTCTTGGATGAGAAGCTAAATGTCTTCAAACAAAGACCAGAAAGTCCAATTGAAAAAGACCTTTGGGCCAAGTGTCCAAAGTTTGATTAGGTGACTGTGAACAGTGCTGCAATGGTTGTAAGTACGACAGCCGGTCATGAGTTAATTTTTTCAGTACTGCTCTAACTTCAGATGTAACTTCAAATATTTGAAGTTATAGGAGTAAGTTGTAATTATCTTACAAACAAATGATTGTAAGTTGAAAACTACCTGTACTTAGCTCCTACTACAACCATGATGGGTAACCTATGGCACACATGCCAGAGGTGCCACGCAGCGGTCTCTCTGTGGGCACGCAAGCCGTCATCCCAGTTCAGCTCTGCTAACACTAACCCGGCTACCACGTATGCAGTGGCAAAGTTCTGTGCTGCTGCAATGTCCATAAGAAAAAAATTGGCTACAGTATAGTACCATCTTGTACCAATTATCTGGACATACCTTTAACAATCTTTGGACCATAATGTTATTATCCACTTTTAATGTAAATACTTTTAATTATATTTTAATGTTAGTATTTTTAATATAGTGTAAAGACAAATGTATATTGCTGGTCTTTGACCGTAATAAAGATCTTACCTTACCTGCTGTGCATGCGTGCATGCCTCCCGCCGGCCAGCTGGTCTTCGGGTCTCTGCCACGCATGTCCGAGGGGGGGGGGGACACGAGGGGAGGATGTGTGTGGGACGCATTGCATTTTGTGGGTTCAGGCGCGTGCGTACACATTTGCATGCGCTTTGGGCACTAGGTCCAGAAAAGCTTAGCCATCCCTGTACTAGAATTACTAGAACTGATAATTGATTATTTCAGTCTTACTGGTCTCCGAGAGGGTTCCGAGTGGGTGTTTTCTTGTTTGTATACTTTGCATAGTCTATTCGTTAATTGAACTTCCTTCTTTGCATTTTCAGCATCTCTGGCTGGAATGAGACTTTCTGAAGGAGACATAGCAGTAGGTCTTCACCATCTTCATTAACTAATATTCATATTGTTAACTGGATTAGGAATCTTGAGATCCATGGTCTCTTGAGGCTTAGAGAGCACCTCTGTATTCGGATCCCATCGATTTTGGTGGAATTGATGCAGGCCTGCCCCTAATACCTTTCCTTGCTGATGAGTGGCATCTGCTTTGTCACGTGCTGCCTATTAATTCATTATCATTATTCATTTATAGATATCCTTGGCTTACAAAAGTTTGTTTAGTGACTATTTGATGTTAGAACGGCACTGAAAAGAAGTGATTGATGACCATTTTTTGAGACCAGAGGTGGTATTCAGCAGGTTCTGACCAGTTCCAGAAAACCAGTAGCAGAAATTTTGAGTAGTTTGGAGAACTGGTAAATACCACCTCTGGCTGGCCACACCCCCATCTATTCTCTACCTCCCAAGTCCAAGTTGATCGGGAGGAAGTGGAGATTTTGCAGTATCCTTCCCCTGCCACGCCCACTAAGCCACACCTACCAAGCCATGCAATGCCCACCAAACCACACCCACAGAGCCAGTAGTAAAAAAAATTTGAATCCCGCCACTGTTTGAGAGAGTTGTTAAATGAGTTTTGCCTCATTTTATGACCTTAGTTGCCGCAGTAGTTAAGTGAATCACTGCAGTTGTTAAGTTAGTAACAGGGTTGTTAAATGAATCTGGCTTCCCCAACTGACTTTGCTTGTCAGAAGATCGCAAAAGGGGATCATTGCAACTGTCAGAAATATGAGTCAATTGCCAAACATCTGAATTTTCATCACATGACCATGAGGATGCTGCAACGGTGGTTAGATGGGTGAAAAACACCCGTAAGTCTCTTTTCTCAGTGTCATTGTCACTTCAAGCAGTCTCTAAATGAATTGTTATAAATCGAGAACGACGTGTATAAGTGATGAGGAAGCTTGCTTGTTGGTATGTGATCGGAGTGCCACTTTAGTTACCAGCTGACGTTGTTCTTGGTCATTGAGGATTATGTAGCCATTAATTTTCCACAATAAATCCTTAGAGTCTATTATAATTCCCCCCTCCCCCCGCTCTATGTTTCATATAAAGCTGGCAAGCAAAGTCAATTTCACAAGAATTCAATTGCTGCAATGTGTAATTTAAAGATAATTAGCAGGGCAAATAAATGGGTTTGATTTAATTCCTGTATTGCTTTTTCTGTTTTTCTGCTAATACCTTGATTATTTTCTTCCCCAGATTAGCCTCGGCACGAGTGATACCCTGTTTCTCTGGATTAAAGAGCCACGCCCTGCTCTGGAAGGCCACATTTTCTGTAATCCAGTTGATTCACAAGCATTTATGGCCCTACTTTGGTGCGTGCCTTCTACTGTATGATGTGTCACATTAGCCTGATAAAAATCAAAATTTGTGTCACTTTTTCTAGTTCTTTAATGTTTCATATTTTATTTTCAAAATTTACTTTAAAGTTTTATTTTTATTTATTTAGATTTTTAAAATCCAGCCTTATTATATTAATAAATAACTCAAGGTTGTGAGCGAATCTTAATACATCATTCTCCTCCTATTTTGTTCACTGAACTCTATGACATAGGTTGGGTTGACAGAGAGAGGGCTGCCCCCAAATCACCCAACTGGCTTTCATGCTTAGGGTGGGATTAGAATTCACCATCTTCTTGTGATTGGCCCAAAATTATTCATTTGACTTTCGTGGTTAAGAAGGGTCTAGAACTCAACAGTCTCCTGGTGATTGCCCCCAAATCACCCAGCCAGCTTATCATCTGATTGGCCCACTGGTGGGTTTTGCATTTGTTATCACCGGTTTGCCCTGCACATACCCATATTCTTCACGGGCGCACACACCCCTTCCACGCATGTGCCTGGCCTTCCTTGCATGTACCGTATTTTTCAGAGTATAAGATGCACCGAAGTATAAGACGCACCAAGGTTTTGAAGAAGCATTTTTTAAAAAAAGGAGGTAGGTAGATAGAGAGAGAGAGAAAGAGAGAGAAATATAGTAGGTAGGGAGAGAGAGAAAGTAGTTAGTTAGTTAGTTAGTTAGTTAGGTAGGTAGGTAGGTAGGTAGGTAGGTAGGTAGGTAGGTAGGTAGATAAAGGGATACAGAGATAGAGAGAGAGAGAAATACAGTAGGTAGGTAGGGAGAGAGTGTGTAGGTAGGTAGTTAAGTAGGTAGAGATATATATAGAGAAATATATTTATATATATATGTAGATCTTTGGTAATTCGGGTTTTCTCCCGTGTAAAATTGGAAGTGTCTTGGCGAGAGATTTTACGTGGGAGAAAACCCGAATAACCAAAGACCTACATACTAACACCCGTGAAAAACAAACACACACACACACACACACACACACACACATATATATATATATATATATAGAGAGAGAGAGAGAGAGGGAGGGAGGTAGGTAGGGAGAGAGGGAGAGAGTAGGTAGGTTGGTAGGTAGAGGGATAGAGAGAGAGAAATAGAGAGAGAGAGAAATGCAGTAGATAGAGAGAGAGAGAGAGGGAGAGAGTAGGTAGGTAGGTAAGTAGCTAGATGGAGGGAGAGAGAGAGAGAAATACAGTAGGTAGGTGGGGAGGGGAGAGAGGGTAGGTAAGTAGGTAGATGTTTCCAAATGTATTTATCCATGTGCTGGAGAAGGAAATCACTGACCATCTGCAGCACCTAAGACTTTGTTTCTGCTGGCACAGCACTCAATCAATTTTCAGTTCTCATCAATCAGTTAAAGAGCTTTGCAAAAGGAAAAAAAAAGTTTTTGCACTCTGCAAATCTCCGCAAAAACGGCCTGTTTTTTGTGAAAACGGGCCCGGTTTTTTTAAAAAGGCATGAATAGCCTTGCGGGGGGGGGGGAAACTTGCCCAGGGCCCCTGGTTGGGGGGGGGGCCCAAAATGAGCAAAAAATGGCCTGTTTTTCGCAAAAACAGGCCTGTTTTTTGCGATAAAAAATTGCATGCATAGCCTTATGGAGGCTTATAGAGTGCTCCTGGGAGCTGGGGGGAGGGGCAAAAATGGCCCGGTTTTTTTGCTCATTTCTGCCCTCCCCAGCCCCCAGGAGCTCTCTGAAAGCCTCCATAAGGCTCTGCACGGCCGTTTTGTGAAGTGGGAGGGGTTTCAGGAGGGAAAAAATGCTTTATTCGATGTATAAGACTCACCCAGTTTTTCAGCCTCTTTTTTGAGGAAAAAAGGGGCTTCTTTTACTCCGAAAAATACGGTACTTTGCCCATGTGCGTGCCTTCCACACATGCACCTGGCCTCAAAAACGTGCCTAAATAGGATGGCATAGAGCCGGGGCAGGTGGGTGGGGGTGGTTTCCGCTTCTGGTTCAGGTGAACCGATCCAAACCGGCTGAATACCACCTCTGGATTGGCCCAAAGTATCCTAGGCAGCGTTCAGGCCAAGGAAGGATTAGAACTCACAGTCTCCTGGTTTCTAGCTTGGTGTCTTAATGACTAGATCTGTGATGGTGAACCTACGGTGTGCCAAAACTGGTTTTCACATGCATAATGGCCACCTGATTGTTGTGCACGCATGCATGCTAGACGTTCGGCTTTTTCGGAACGTGGCCCTGACGAGCTCACCGGTGCCAAAAAGTTTCGCCATCACTGGACTAGATCAAACTGGCTCTCTTGCAAGATGTTTCTGCATCACCTGTCTGAAACAGATTAAAAGAACTTCTCTGTTTCCCTGGACAGCTTCTCAACCTTGGGGGGGAAATGAGTGACCGCTTTAAGCTATTCCAGACTGAATTCCCATAATTGGGATGGCATTTCTCAAAACCATGCCATTGATGCCTAAATTTAAGATTTCCAGACTTAATAAGGACTACAACTTCCAGAGCCGTCTGATTGGCTAGAAAGTTGAGGAGAAACATCTCAAATCTACAAGAATTCATGTCAAGATATGCCTGCTTGCAGCAGGAAAACACATTTAAACAGACTTTAATTTATTCTAAATACTTTACTACTCAAAAATGAAGATAATAGCAGGGAACATTCCATTATTACTGATCGGGATGAAATCCTCCCAGTTCAGCTCGGTTTGGCTGAACCAGTAGGGACGATTGTCCTTGGTTCTGCGAACTAGTAGTAAAAAAAAGTTTCCAAGGATCGCGTAGCTCAGCTGTGAACCATGCAATTGCTGGAATATTTCCCCCCGCTTTTTAAAGCATTTTTTCCCTGCTGGTTTGAGTGAACTGGCAGGGGAAAAATGCTTTAAAAAGCTTTAAAAAAAGCTTCCGATGATCACGCGGCTCACAGCTGAGCCATGTGATCATCAGAAACTTTTTTTTTTACTACAAAACCAAGGACAAAATGCTTTAAAATGCTACAAAAATAGCTGAAAGTGGGGAAAAGGTTGGCCATGCCCACCCAGTCACATGACCTCTCTCCCACCAAGCCATGCCCACAGAAGCGGTGGGGGGGGGAATTAGATTTCACCACTGTTACAGATCTTTGCATTTCCAGGTGTATATAAATGATGTTTAACGTACAACCAAAATTGGGACCTGAATCTCCATTGCTAAGTGACTCACACCCAATTTTATAACCTTTAAACAAATCACTGCAGTTCTTAAGGAAATCATGTGGTTGTGAAGCGAATATGGTTTTCCCCATTAATATTTGCTTTTCAAGAGCCAGCTAGTAAGGTTGAAAACGGTGATCAGATGATGCTGGGAATTAACCAACATCCCCACAGTCACATGATCAAAATTCATATGACTGTGGGGATATTGGGTTGGTTTTAAGTGTGAAAATTTTTTGCAAGTCACTTTTTTCAGTGCTGCTGTAACTTAACGATTGCTAAATGAGTGGTTATAATTTGAAGACCCCCTGTGTTAAGGAAAAACCAATAACTTCACAGGCGAAATTGCAATGAATTACCCATTTATTCAGATTACTTATTAATTTATGCTTAATTTGTAAAAATTAGTGAAAGGTCTTTGGAGAAGTTTAATTACATTTTTCTTGCTTTGGATAGCTAAACTACTACTGTTACTAATGCAGTGGAAGACACCTAAACCCTTTTAACTTGCAAAAAGATCGGGTGTGTGAAAACAATGTTGCACCCATTATCTTTTCTCACCAGAGACTTAGTAAATTGGGTTACAGAAGACAATATTTGGTTATGTCCAATCTTCTTCAATTGCAGAGGTGTTAAATCTCCATACTTTACCATCTGCCTTATTGCCTGGAGCATTATAGGAGCTGGAACCTGGGATGCAGCAGCAATAGGATCCCATTAATTGAAACTCAAGGATCTAGTCCGGGGGGTGTGTGAAACTCACAGCTGGTGGGGTGGATGTGTCATGCGCTGGCCACACCCTCCCCTGGTTTAGCAAAGGGGAAGAAAGTCATGATATGTCACGTGATGGCAATGTGACGCTGTGAGTTTGACACCCCTGATCTAATCCTTCATTTCTTACAGACTTGAGTTAAATCACGGTGAAGTCAGGCATCAGGAAGCTTTTGGCCTTAGTATCAATATATACCGTTTCCCTGAAAATAAGACCTCCCTGGATAATAAGCCCGATCGGGCTTTTGACCGTACACGCTAAAATAAGCCCTCCCCTGAAAATAAGCCCTTCCTGAAACTATTGCAACACAGCAGCAGCCATGAGGTGACCATGCTCGCCGCTTCCTGCACCTCAAAAATAATAAGACCTCCCCAAAAATAAGGCCAAGTGCTTATTTCAGGGAAACACGGTATATATTTGTGAAAATAAGCTTTTTTCTTCAGATCCACACTGCTACTTGGCATCTCTGCAAATACTTTCTGATTTTCTAGTGCCAAATAATAAAACGACGTTGCTTCAGAATTCTGACTGAAACCTCTTGGAGAAATCAAAGAAATTGTGTATTGTTATTGGTTTTAGCTACAAGAATGGCTCCTTGATGCGAGAGAAGATCCGAGATGCGCTTGCGTTGGGCTCGTGGGAAGAATTCTCAAAAGCTCTCGAATCAACAGCTGCTGGAAACGCTGGAAAGGTGGGTAGGTATCTTGGAAGGCTTATAATTCCCCTCCCCCATCCGCTAGTTAGGTGGGGTTTATTCCAGGAAAGAAGCAATTTGAGGAGAGGCGGTGCTTCTGCCTGCCTCATCAGATGGCTTGGCTGGAACTAACTCACCCAGGCTTTCTCAATTTTGGCATCTTTGAGATGCACAGACTTCTACAATTCCCCAGCCAGCTTGCTGTTTGTCTGGTTTTGTCTGGTTGGAATAAACCATATTCGTACATTCAAAAGAGGCAATAAAAAGCTAAGAAGAAAACAAAAAAGACCAGAACAGATCTTCTCCAGCACTCAACACCCAAATAAGCAGGGATTAATACCAGACAAATAATCAAACAGAAAACAATATCCCAATCCGGAAACTACTGTAAGGTTTTTGAATTCAGCTCAGAATCTGATAACTCCAATGAAAGTCTGAACACGAGGCTACTGATAATCAGTTTTCATTTTCTGCAGAAAGCAAAAAGACTTGACAACATTTTTGTCTCCCACCTTAACAACAGGCAGAGAGAGAGAGCGAGAGAGAGAAAACAGGCCCAAGCCTCACCGTCCAGTCATGAAAAAAAACTTTTTTTGTCAAACTTCTTATAGTCTTTGCACAGCTTGTACAAATTGTCATAGTTACCCACCTCAAGCCGAGGTGGCGCAGTGGTTAAATGCAGCACTGCAGGCTACTTCAGCTGACTGCAGTTCT